TGGATTGCCTGTTGAACTGGTGTCGGACAACGGAAGATCTTTTACTAGTCAAGAGTTCAAGACCTTTTTGCATAACAACAATGTGAAGTTCACATTAACTCCCCCGTATCATGCGGCTTCAAATGGATCTGCAGAGAGAAGTGTTCAGGAGGTCAAGAAAAACCTTTTGCGTCAAGTGATTGAGGAACATCAGCGTTCTCAGCGTACCACTCTTCAAATGAAATTAGATAATTTCTTGTTTGCGTACCGCAACACTCCAAATACAGTTACTGGCTTAACCCCTGCAGAAATGTTCCTGTCTTGGAAGCCTCGTACTCAGTTGGTTATGTTAAAACCCAATCTCCAGTCATCCATTGATCAAAAACACAGGGAACAAAAAGATGCAGCTGATAGGCTTAGGGGAAGAAGCAGATTTTTCTCAGAAGGTCAGGCAGTCTATGTCAAAACTGTCCGAAATGAAAAGATATCTTGGGTTCCGGGCAAAATAATTCTAAAGAGAAGTCCGGTCACCTATCTGGTGAGTGTTATTGGTGGAAAACCCCGATTTTGTCATGCGGATCACTTGAGAGCTCGGTATGCAGAAGAGGAGGAGATTTTTGTATCACCCAAGGACCCCGTTGTATCACCCCAAGTACCCAAGAATTCACCCCCGCCGGAGGATCGACCAACCAGTCCCATGATGATGTCACCTGTACCTAGGCCTACGACCAGTCCCAGGGAGAGCCTAGGGCAAGCCCAGCCTCAGCCAACTCCTGCGTCGCCGCTAGCACAGTGCAGCCCACCACCCTCGCTGAGGAAGTCTGCACGGACTGTGCGAAAGCCTCACAGGCTGGACTTGTAAAATTATTACTGAATAATGGGAAGAAGAAATTTTGGTTGCATTTTATTGAAAGTGAATTTATTTTATTTTGAAAGTTGAGTTAATTTTGAATTTATGATATTGACTTTTTTTTATGGGGAAGACGAGTGTAGTAGAAGTCATTATAGTTTCATATATGAACAGTTATAATTATTAGTAACGGAAGAGTTATTATGTTTTGCGGGGTGGCTGCACTGTGCACTGAGCCCTGAAGTGGGATGATTCGTCACGGCTCCTTCTTCTATGTCCAACAGCGATCGTAAGTGGTTCTTTATAATTACTGTCCACTTTTCTAGCGTAACGTTAGGTTACGACAATTAGTTAAACCTATATTTATTGAAAAATTAAGTTTAAAGCAAGACAAAATTTATAGGCCTACATGTTAAGATAATTTTCAAGGGTAAAAACTGTTACCATCAATAATATCGACTCAACTTGAACTCGCTCCCCCCCCCCACCATGGTTTTAAACCTCTCTGGATTTGGATCCAGTCCAGTTAGTCCAATTGAAGGTTTGGGTTTGGCAATGGCTTTGACCTTTGACCAATGAATACGAATACACAATTTAACGTTTTTTTAAGCTCAACGCATTGCCAACAAAAATCTAACACAAGAGGACAATAATTAAGACGAGGACAAGACAGAAGTGAGAAGAGCAAAGACGAAGGTAACTATTTTTTTTTTGTACGAGTTCCATTCCATTCCAAAATCAAATCCGATCCAATCCAACGTGACGCACGCCGGAGCGGAGCGGAGTTGTTACTAACTAACCTCAAATCTCAACCTGTCAGTTGGTCAGTTCAGTTTTGGTCTCGACATCTTTATTAACAGTTAATTTCTAACTAAGGTGTTCTTGTCTTAGTTATATCTTAATATTAATCGTAGAACAACGTTCTACCTAATTTGCTGTGAAAAATATCTATTCGTGTGGAATCAGAATGGATTATCGACAAAGAATCAGGTCGAACTTGGCAAACCATCAGGTTTATAGACAACTGAGTTCACAGGCCTCATTTTAGCAAAAAGTTGTAAGTAATGCACCACAGGTTTGCATAAGTGTCATATTATTAAGTTGTCATATTAAACTCATAATATGCCTTAATGTTGAGGTGGCTGTTAGGTTTAGTTTTTATGTGTCCAGTACCTAGTATAGGCCTAGGTAAACTTTAACTTAGGCCTACCTTATTCAGTGCAACAAAATAAACTAGCCTAGGCCTAGTTCCAATTTTAACGATTTTCTACTCATTGAAGTGTTAAATTTGGAGTTGTGAAGTATTTAGTCAGTATGTTACTTCATTATTTGATCTCACAAATTGTGTACGGTACGGTAAGTTTAGGCCTTAATAGCCTAGGCCTATGACTAGGCCTACAAGTAAAGCAAACCTTGATTGGATTTGTAAATTAATGATGAGATTCGATTGCAATTAAGTCAATTTTTAGTACCGGTAGCCTAACTTTTGTTCAGCGTAGGTTCCGTTTGGGGCTACATTTGGGTACAGTTTCCGATTGAAACTATCAAATGGAAAATATTGATTAATAATCGATTTTGAAATATATCTAGGCCTATTTTATAATTAAACTATCATGACCTAACCTAACCAACCAAACTTGCTGATGGTGAAAAAATCGCATGAAGGCTTACTAATCGAATCGATAGTTTCAATCAATATTAGCATAACCCAGTTAAGAAACTGTACCCGCCTACTTAACTTATGCCTAGATCAAAAGTAACTTAGGCTTAAACATCAAAATGCAAAACTACCTAATGAATAAGTTAGAGCCTACACAAAAACATTGTTTTTCATTTGAATGGGCGGCTATTTTTATTCACAGATTGTTTCGTTAAGTAAGTTATCTTAGGCCGGACTAACTTAACTTAACTTGATGTTTGGTTATGTTTGCTGTTGTATTTTATAATAAGAAGCCTACTAAGTTAGCCCTGATTATGTAAATAATATGATAAATAGGTCTTAGCTTAAGTGCTAAGGTAGGCCTAAGGCAGAGAACCCATTATGGGTTACATTAACGGATTAAATATTAAAATAGTCTACTTCGATATAACTTAGGCCTAACTATCGACATACATAATACATAATACATGTTTCAATCGATATAAATATTGAATTTCAATATTGATTTTCGTTTACAGTAAGTTATGGCGTTTAGGTTAGGTTACCTACCTAGTTTAGTTTATGAAACTTATTAAAAAACTATATGAATAGGCCTACAAATTGATGTCTTTGTGATTGTAATCTGTTAAACAAACCAAAGTAATATCAACTCTAATACCTACCAACAATTTTACTTTGATTGCTACTATCATAAACTAAACTAAAACAACCTAACCGCCGCAGAATGTGTGGAAAAAGTCTTCTTGAAACAACAATATTGATACAATTGTTACAATGGATATTTACATGAAAGCAAACTCATCCGATACAATATAACTACAGAATATAGTAGGTTCTCTACGGAACTGCACCCTTGGAAGTGCCAACATGAAAAAAGTACGGTAACAAGAAAGATAGGCTATAACATTTTTTTTTGAGTCTTTTTATTTTAAGTCCCTATAACTGAGTATTTAAGTAGGCCTACCTATTTAACTTTATTTATGGCCTTTGAAATGATTTTTCATTATACTTATATAAGTAACGTAGCCTATTACAGTAAAATTTTAAGATGGCCGCTTAAGTTAAACCTGAATTGGGATAAAACTAGATTACCTATTAGGTCCTATATTGATTCTAAATTGTGTAGGCCTATTGCCAGGTTATTTTACAAAATCAAGTTTTAATTCAATTATTGAGATATGTACAATCTCATTTCAATTCAGTATAAATATAGCCTAGCCCGCATTAAGAACTGTGCAGCTTATGCGGCTATACATTAAAAATAATGGAGTTGTTCAAGTCTGCACATGTACATTGAAAGCGAATTAGCCCAAACTTAAAGACAACCCAACATAAAGGCCAAGCTGAGCTCTGGAGATACTTAAATATACTTACATCAGCTCACCATTTTTTATAGTTGTAACTTGTCTGTTTCAGGTAAAAAAACTTTATGACAACTACTGTACTACATTTATATTCTAAAGACCATTGTGTTAATACTATAAATCTGACATTATTAATTTGATTAATAATTATAACCCCGACAAATTAGATTCATTGGATATTTTGATTGTTTAATTTTTTACATTTTCAATATAAAATTAAATTTAGTATTGTAGGGTATTATCAATAGTATTCTTTTTGGTGATTTTACTTTTTCATACAACTTTTATTGTAATTTTGCAAAAAAATAATTTATTACCTAACCTTGATTTTTGTTAACATAATTTGTATTTTAGCATATGTAATTTTCAAATACAAATTGTTTATTGCTAAAGGTGTCTTATTAATTCATCTTCCATATTGGTTCAATTCTCACTATTGTATGATCCAGATACTGGTCCAGTATTGGCCAGGTTCTGGCCCAGTACTGCCCAGGTTCTGGTCCAGTAATGCCCAGGTTCTGGTCCAGTCCTTCCCAGGTTCTGGCCCAGTACTACCCAGGTTCTGGCCCAGTACTGCCCAGGTTCTGGCCCAGTACTGCCCAGGTTCTGGCCCAGTACTGCCCAGGTTCTGGCCAGTACTGCCCAGGTTCTGGCCCAGTACTTCCCAGGTTCTGGCCCAGTACTTCCCAGGTTCTGGCCAGTACTGGCCAGTTCTTGCCAATTTTGGAAGTGCCCAGAACCTGGGCCAGAAAATTTTTTTACTGGCCCAGAAAATTTTTTTCCACATGGGTATCTAAAACAATCTGATTGCAAATAATTGATATAAAAAAGCCTGTGCAAAGAAGATAAATACAGGTAGGGCCTGAGCGTAGGATCTGAAACTATAGTGGCACTTAAGATGCACCTTATATTTGAATAGCTGAAAAATCCCTTTTAAATTGTTTTAACAATTTGTGAATCATTCAGAAGTAACAAGATGAATGAAAACATATTACACCTATTATTTATGAATATTTCAGTCTAATTGCAAACTATGAGATTGAAATGGTTTTAATGAAACAAAAAATTATTGGAAAGTTTCAAACTAGATCACAGATGAACACAAAAAAATAGAAGCTGAAGATTGGATGAGACAATGTTTTCTTACATATTTGACTTGAGACATGTTCGCATGAGAGATGGCAGCAGTTTTCCACAGAACCAGTCCATAGTGACATGGGAAACCTGTGGTACAAACAAAGTATCTTTTTAATTTTTAGCCTATCAATAACATCCAAAAAACCAACGATTTGTAAAGCCGTAGCATATGGTTGGTACCTTAGTGAAAAAAACAAAGATTTTTACATTCTGCTTTATTGTGCATAAATACAGGATTTTCATAAAATAATGGTGGGGTTTAACTGTCTGTAAAACAAGTTATAAGACCATTATAAGATTAAACCCCTGTACAATCTAATCACAGAATATGACTCATACTTGAGAGGATAATCTATTCCCCACATCTTTACCAGCTACGATAGGGGTTGTGGTTGGCTATAATTATTATAATGGGAAGAAGTAATGAACGGGTGATGGATTTGAACCAGCTTGCTTGGTGGAACCAGGACCTTGTAGGAGACCCATGACCCATGTGTGTTTTTGTAAAATGTTTTTTATAATGCAATATATTACGTACGTTGATTATACTTCTCCGTTTGCTGATTGTGAGGGTAAAGCTAATTCTACATTTACAGTACGGAGTAAGAGACTGCATGCCCACTTTGAGCACAGAAAACGTACTACTATAACCCAGAATGCCAACCGCATGGTAAAAAGCATTAAGAGTTTTGAGAGAGCTTTGCCTGTCAATCCGTAGGCAGCGCCACCAGCGTTGCTATGCTGAGTGCATGTCAACGCTAGTGGCGCTGCCTATAGATTGACAGGCAAAGCTCTCTCAAACCGCTTAATGCTTTTTACCATGCGGTTGGCATTCTGGGTTATAGTAGTACGTTTTCTGTGCTTTGAGGTACATCAGCGCAGAGAAAGATTGCATCCCTTAAGTCTGCATGTTGACAGTAAATAGAGACTCACCCGGCGCAAAGCTCCACGAGAGTTCGGCAGATGCTGAAGCAGGGGAATCAGCCCAGACATCTTGCAGCTGTACGACATCTACTGGTGTCAGCACTACACCTTCTGATGGGCAAACAACATCACCCATAGCAGTGCATTACAAAGAATTAATAAATTATTAGCAATAAAAAATAAAATCAAACATGTTTTTGGACAGAGAAGTTTCTGAAATCAAATATTTTAAATTATTTTGTTCTATAGTGAATGTATTGGTAAATAAAAGGGTACTTATTATAAGCACTTTGTTACATGAAAAATTACCTGGAAGTGTTCTAAACTGATGTGATATTTCCTCTTCAGTATGATGATCCAAAATTATTTTCAGAGTAATTCTATACTCACTATTTGACTTGAGACCATCCAACAAAAAGGAACATTTGTCCATCTGTAACAGCACAAGATCAATTTTATTAGCGTTTAAAATGTCAAACACAATCATTTATCTTAAAAAAATAAGTTAAACAAAAATTAGTTGGACCAAATACCTCGTCTTTCACAATAAAATTACAGTTTCAGTTTCTATTCATGTTATATCCCAATCAATGGTATTCGGTATTTCTTTGGCGTTAATCAGTTATTTTAACATTTTTATCTGCTCCGTAAAATCTCTGAATCAAGTTTCTTTATCACAAGTTCTCAATCACACACAGTTTCTTATCATGTCTCCTTTAAACTTATTTTATGACTGCTGTTGCATTTTTGCTACTATTTATAGGCTTCAAAACTAAAATAATTGTCTAATAGGTATCAAGAAGGTTTAGTTAAGGAGCAGTAATAAATCATTTGCAAATTGAGAATGAGCTACTAGTTACCTCACAGTGGCAGTATCTAGAGAGGGGGCCATAGGAGCCATGGTTCGGACCGCGGTGAGGAGGCGGTTCAGGTTGTTCTCACGACAGTTGTGTGATGAGTATTTTCAATTAATATCTAATTTTGTTTAACTCATTAAGAGGAATATGAAAATATTTATATGAAGGAAGGATAGCATATTTTATAAAATTCTACATATAAAAATTTAGAGTAGGCTTTTTTAATATACTCCAAAATTTACTCGTTAGTGAGCCAGAGATTTTTTGTGGCAAAAAAAGTACCTACAAAAAATGCATTACTATTATACGAAACTATCACTTAAAAGTACCTAAAAAAAATTGTATTTTCACACCACTGTAAACATAAAAATAAACAAATTAAGTTTTAAGATAAACTGGCATCCCGAATGTTTTTGAAAAAAAGCATCGGCGATGTTACTCAGACAGGTCAAGAGCGCAGACTGATTTTCGGCGTACCCCCACCCCTACAAAACCGGTTCAGAGCCACTCCAACCACATACCCCCAGGCTTCATAAAGAAACGCACGTGCTCTACCCACTGGCTCAGTAGTCAGTTGATTATTTGTTTTGTTGCGGTTTTTTAGTTAGTAACAAAGTTTTACAAGATTGAACCTATGTGCATCATCCCTCCACTTAAGCACAAGCATATGACAAAATTATAATGGTAAGTAATGGAAGCGTATAAGGCTTAAGCTTTGCTTTGCCGTTTTCTAAGTTAGGTTAGTGTAGACTCAAGATTGAGCAACCCATTACAGTACTACGAGTGTGACGGTGGCGATGTCTACCTGACTATCTACTATCACACCACACTGACATTTCTACAGAGTATTCACTCAGGTAGACATATGTGCGTTCAAGTGTATACATCAACAACGTCGCAGTGTCGCACGCTCACCCGCCCAGCTGGGAAATGTCGTACAGATACCATCTATGTTATAACTTAATACGGAGTACTATGCTTAATCTTTGTTAATACTCCCCTGGATACTGGCGCGCTGTGTGGTGGAAAAACGCGGGCCGTGCCCACCATTCGAAATGGTGGGATACTGAGGCCGGCAGGTCGTATGAACCTCTCTCTTTTACACAAACATATTCTCTCAACCTGCTCTGCTACACTTATTTGTTAACATAAAGATTTGAAATTTATATATTTTTTATAACAGACAGTGCTTATTACTGTGTAGTTTATAGTTTGAACCTTAACATATTTTTTTGTAGTTTATCTAAGCAAATTAAAATTGATGGTTTTTAACACCACTAAAAACCTCAAAAATGTAGTAAGCAAGGAACTATTTTATTTTCTGAAAAAAATAATTGTTGAAGGAATACAATGCGTGTCGACATTACGAAACAAAACATTTAAAAATAGATAGGTTAAATTACAGGGCCGGTAAGAACAGAAAAAGTTGTATCACTGAAAAAAGGAAGTTTTGCACTTAAACTCTCCTTTTCAGATTACAAGAGATTAAACTTTTTCTTCGTCAAGAGTGCTAAAAATGTTGACTTTGCAAGTATAATTTTTCACAAATTTCCGGGGGAGGACCCTGGACCCCCCTCCCGCAACATGGGGGGTATTCCAAAACCCCCTGGTAGTCGTGGCCATGCTGGCCCAGTACTAGAATACCCCCCACACCCCCGAAAGAATGCCGCCCCCCCCCCAAAAAAACCCCCTGGAACCGCCCATGTTACCTCATGTGCAAATTGATGGATGAGGGGACCTCGAATGAAAATATATTAAGCTGGGAGTTATTTGGCCACTGAAAAAAAACATAATGAGGAACACTATTTTATAATAAACTACATGCTCTTCTTAAAGAACTCACTCGATCTGTGCTGGTCCAAGTGGTGTCCTTGACTAATGAATACTGCACTATGTATTCAAGTTCTGGAGTTTCACACCATTTGAAAGCTATCCTATCTGTACCATGACAGAGCAACTCTAAGTTGTTGCTTCCTCTCCTCTTTCTTTTTAATAACTCTCCTGTAAACAAGTATACAATAAGTTGGATGAATCGTATTACTATATTCTGTACATAAAATTAGTTAAATTTAATTCATGTGAACTAGTTTAACAAACATGTAGGCCTATTGAACAAGTTTCATAAAATGTGAACAATGAATAAAGGAGCATATGATGTCTGTAATTGCCTTATACCTATCACCATTATCTTCATCTTTTACAAAAAAAATATTGATGGCATTAGAACTTTGGCTTTCACAAATGAATACATTTAATGTTCAATATTACTTAGGTAATATTTATAATTAATCAAGATTCACTTGGATTTAAAATAAGACACCATGCTTAAGCATTGAAGTAGTTTATTACAGCATCTTGAGTTCAGTCTAACATGTGTTGAGTTACAAAAATAGCGAACCGGACACCACAGCCTTATGTATATCATAGCGTCCTTTAACATATAGGTACTGTACCGTACCTACTTTATAAAGTTATTATACAGGTGATCAACTCAAGGAGGCCACCATTGGGATATCGAAAACGGCAGAATTAGAAAAAACTTTAAATGGGGGACATTCCTTTATTTTTTGTGGCAGTTAAAAATAAGATTTTATTTTTTCAAAATTCATCCGCCATTTTCCAAAATGGCGGCCAACTTTGAAATTTCTTATGGAACACCCTATATTTTATCATGTTTTCGGATAGATCATCCAATTTTTAAAAACTTTTTTATTCTTGAAATTTTTTTCGATAGACCCACTCGTTTAGGAGTTACAGCCTATGAAAAAATGACTTCCGGTGTACATTTTACATCATGTAGCTCCTAAACAAGTAGGTTTATAGCGAAAATGCAAAGAGTATAAAAGGTCAAATAAGTCTTAAAATTGCATCCATATTCCAAAAAGACCATAAAATTCGTTAAAAATATTAATTCTATTATTGAAAAATGGCGGCAAACTTAAAAAGTGAAAAACTGTGTATTTTATGGTCTTTTTGGAATGTGGATGCAATTTTAAGACTTACTAGACTTATTTACTCTTTGCATTTTCGCTATAAACCTACGTGTTTAGGAGGGATGCATTGCACGACGTCCAAGTGCCACGACGTCCAATAAGATTATTCAGTGCCACTACGTCCAAAGAATAATTTTTCAGCTGTTGCACGACGTCCAATATAAAATATTTGACTGTTGCACGACGTCCAAGTGCCACGAGGTCCAAAAGTACAGTAACTGCAAAAAATATAGTCTTTCTACAAGCTTTGGACGTCATGAGATTGGACGTCGTGAAACAGCGCACTATAGAATTGTAAAATATTATCATTTGCACGACGTCCAAAGCCTCTGCCAGTTGCACGACGTCCAAGTGCCACTATGTCCAATAAATATTTGGCTGTTGCACGACGTCCAATATAGCTCAGCGCTGATGCACGACGTCCAAAAGCTCCTGCATACGGTGAATTTTGCAGATCAGCAATATACTACTAGAAGAAGCGTATATTGCGTGCCAAGTAATGAAGTCATCAAGCCTTTTATCATCATCATCATATCATCTATAATATTAAAACGTGACAGGGTTTTTTATTTCACGATTCTGAATCAACCACTTGACGGATTTTCACGATTTTTGTGTTGAAAGAAAGATAATTTTGAGAACTAGGGAATGTCGAAGCTATAATTTTAGTTTAGAATCCCAGTTTTTTTTTAGCGAATTTCCCTATAGGGAAGTAGCTATTACCGTAGGTCTCATGGTAAGACCTAAGCCCGGGACCGATTTACTTTTTCATTTTGATGTCCCCAGAGGCCAAAAACACCATTCGTTCAAATTTTTATATATCTATATATAGATATATATATATATATATATATATGTGTGTGTCCATCCGCACGATAACTTGAGTAATTTTTGTCCGATTTTGATAAAATTTGGTTTGAAGGTGTAAGGCAGGATAAACTTGAATGAGTTCGCGAACCAGCATGATCGGACTATGGGAACGGGGGTTTATGGGGGGTTTTATGGGGTAAAAATAGGTTTTTCCCATTTTTGACCCTAAAAACACAAAATTTCACAATTTCTTTTTAAACCATTTTGTAGAGCTTAAAAAAAAAATAATTTAGTATATTGAAGCGTTATTATGCGCCTAATTGTTACGGAGAAAATAAAAACAAAAATTGTAATTTTAAAATTCCCATGTTATTCTTACGGAGAATAAGTCAACTGTTGTAGTTTGCTTGTTTATGAACATATTTTGATCAAATTTGGAAAATACATTAATTTCTTACTAAACCATAGTACCTTTTAATATTTTACATAAAAAAAAACTTTTTTACTCTCCCTGTTGCAGCAAACCTAAGTACTCATTAAACTAATTCTGTTTAAATAGGGAATAAATGTGATATTTTTAAGGAGACAATTTAGTTTAAATCTAATCAGGCAGATGGAAATTCGCTAAGTCTGCAGGTTTGCTGCGGCGGGGGTATTTAGAAATTTAGTTTAAAATTTAAAAAAGTCTAGCAGCCGACGCTAACATTCTAAACTAGCTTTTCGTATAAAACCTTTTGCTTAACATAACAGATGTAAACATTAAGCTTGTGACACACAAATTCAGGATTTGGATAATAATGGCATACATAGGGTTGACTTATTAATACTATGTGTAATGCTATACTCATTGATACGTTCATTTAATCAGTAACCTAACATTTATTTGATTTATGCGATAAAGGATTATGACAAACAGTTTGAGTATATTTGAGCTCAATATCCTGAGTTAAGTAGCAGTAGTAATTTAATAATTGTTACATATATCCGGTGTTTAAAATTAGAAAAAGTGTATGTAGCAGTATAGAAGTTGGTACCAAGCTTTGCTCAAAATAAATTATTATCATATCCCAATCCGGTTACGCTGTAATTTATAAATATTTACAACCATCGACTTATTATTGCCATTGGTAAGTATGGCAACTGTATTATTACAGTTGGAAGTGGAACGTGAGATTCAGAAAAGAGAATGAGTGACTTATTTATTAATGACCTATCTATTTAAGTGTTTTTGGGATCCCTATAAACAAAACAAATGATTAAGTTGTTTACAAATACCGCAACCATTTCCGATCAAGTCATTGCTTATAAAATATCTGCTAAGCTTTATGTCTGTACTGTATTTTGGAACCCATTTAGCACTTTAGATGCGGCGTCGGCGCACCTCTCAAAGATCAATATCAATAATGCACGATCTTTGCTGTCGCTGGTGCATGCTCTAGTCTAGTGTAGTGGTTCGCTTAAGCCCCGTCGTTGTTGGCAGCACTAGCGCCGCGCCGCTGAATATTGAAAAGTTAAATCTCTTTGGCTTTTCGCTGTCTGTCTGTCACTGTCGACTCAATTATTCGGTGTTTTTCTTACTTGTCAGCTGGAGCTGAATTCGAGTTTCGCAGCATCTGGTTGCTTCGCTTCGCTAGTTCGCTTCAGTTGTTGAAATTGAAATGTTGATATCGTCGTCTGCTGGCTGTCTAGTGTCTGCTCAGCTGTAGCTGTACTCAACTAGGGAATGTTTAAACCCCTCAAATATTTTTTACCGACATAATATTTAACGTAAGTAAAATATAGGACTATCACGGAAAAGAGAAGTGTAATCATAATTATGTAGGTACCTATTGTCTTAGTTTTATAAAGGTTTTATAAAGTCACATAACCTGATATCCCCTAGTCTAGACTTAACCAAAGCATTTGCATTATACACAGCACTAAAAATATCATGCCAAATTCTTGTTTTCTATTCCGGCAACGATTTACCTATTATAATTTTACAAAATTCATATTATGTACAGTTTCTTGTTAGGTAATAAAATAAAACTGTCCCACCAGCCATCAACATAGGCCTAACTTACTAGAACATTTTGCAAAAATTTGATATCAGACTTCATTGCATCATGGATTTTATAGGCCTATAGAAAGTTTGGCGTTTGATTAAGATCAAATTGTGATAAAACTTGGACTAATACAACTTAAGCTTTTTTGTTTTATTTTTTATCAGGGTTAAAAAGGCTCTTCACTCACAAATCTTTCCAGTTGTGATTTTCTGTCCATGAATAAACAGATCATTGATTGTAAATTAGGTCACTTCTAGACTGGAATAGAATGTAATTCCCAGCTACTACAAAACAACCTTACAGCAACTTACGTCAGTTCAAAATTGTAAAAGAATTGCCTAAACTTATTTTCATTGGACGTAGTTAATGTTTAAAAAAAGTTATTTTATAAACCTAGACCTACTATTAGCTTAGCCTCGTGGTAGAAACGGTGTCTATTTGATGGGATACGTCCGTTGGGAGGCCATTCTACATCTTGGGGTACTGTCATTTGATTTGTTTTGTGAGATATAGATGGAGGGTGAGAACAACTGGGACTGCTGTGCGGATCGCTCTTACCTGGATAGGCCTAGTCATCTAAAGTAAAAAAGAATGAACTAGATCAGATTGCAGTCTAGGTCGTGTGAGAAATGAACGGCTAGACATGGAGCAAGCCCTACTGCCTAGTTGTGACTAACTTAAGTGCGACAAGTGTTTCTAGGCTAATGCCCGAAGAGTAGAGGAAGTTTTTAGTGGGCAGTCTTTGGATCCTTAACCTGTTTGATTCCTTGACTACAGGCTAGCCACCCGTCTGCGTAAACACATTTTCCCAGCTTTCCCTCAAAAGAAAAAAAAAGATTTACGGTTCTACCTAAAGGTTATGGGAACGGGGTTTTAGTAGTAATTTAAATACAATTTTTCAATTTCTTTCCAAACCTTTTTTGTACAGCTAACAAAAATGTGTACCTAAGTGTAGTGTTGTTGCACAGTTAAAGAATACCCTACAGAAAAAAAACTGTATAAAAAAAACATTGTTTTTTGGATTCCAATGTTATCTTATGGTGATTAAATTAACGGTTGTAGTTTGCCTTACACTAAGCTATAATAATTTCACTAAAACCACTTGAATGATTAACCTTCCCTGCAGCAGAAAAGCTAAGTAGGCTACTCGTAAAATCTAATTTGACTTTATAGCCCCGTTCACACGGGGCGAGTTTACAAGCTACACGCCGGCTTTTTTACACGCAGCTAGTAAAATAGCTCAGTGTGAACGACGTACTCGCTCAAAAGCTGCTTGTAAAAAAGCTCTGGAAAAAGTTGACGCTGCCGCTACTTTACACGCCAACTCGCCAGCTTTTGAGCGAGTAGGCGTGTAAAGTAGCCCAGTGTGAACACAGTTGCTTGTGCTTGTGCGCTTGTTACTCAAAGATGTTGGAGGATTTGGTTCAAGCCAGCTACTGAGCGAGTGGAAAAAGCATCGTGTGAACGACTACAAGCGCACTTGCCGACTCGCCGGCGTCTTTCTACACGCCGGCGAGTAGCGTGTAAACTCGCCCCGTGTGAACGAGGCTTTAGGGTACCTAATAAATCTGACATATTTTAGGACATAGCTTATTCAAGTGAAAATTCAATCAGGAAAATTGAAATTCTGCAGCTTTGCTACTGAAGGGGTGTTTTTTCTTTCAATGTTTTTGCTAAGAGACTACCACTTGAAGGGCACTGACAGAACTTTTTGTGATTTGATGTCTCTTGCTTCTGTGTTAACAAGTCAGCCAGTTCAGTGCCAACACGACAGAGTTGATCAAACACAGCTAACAAGTGCCTGACCACTGAGCAAATTGTGAAAAGATGGTTATTTTCGTTTAAACTTCTCATTACGTTGGTTGTTGACCAGGAATGCATGTACACAACCAATAAAGGTCTATGTTTTACCTTGAGCTTATTTATTAGTTTCAATTAAGGCCTTGTGAAGTCCTTTGTTCATTTTATCCAATACGGTACATTGTTTTTTCAGAACAGAAGCAGTTGATTCGTTTGCTACCATGAGTTCCTTTAAGACAATGATAAAATTTAGTAAACACTTCTCAAGATCTGCCTCGACCGCTGCTGATGCCAGTTCCACATTTTACTGTTACAATAGAAACCCAAGAAACCTTGAAAAACTTAGAATAGCCCACAAACCAGTTGGATGGTTTCTTGAGAAACCTGGGAAGACATATTGGAACAAGTTAGTAAGATCATATTTTTCTTGTAACGAGCATACATTAAATATTTCCAGAGTCTACACTTACGTATTATTAATTAGTCTACTTTACTTTATCCACACAATAATGTTGGATCCAAAAAAAATTTAGCCTGACTTATAATTTTAAGTAGCATTATCTAAAAAGTTCATCTTTGAAAAACCAACATACAAGCCTCCATTTTGATATCTAACTTAATTGTATACCGCCATTTATTTTGCTTCTGACCCTAATTTGATCAGTTTTCATTCCACATATTTTTGTCACATGTTTAATTTATCTTTCAAATTTCTTTTGGTCGTACATGAATGTCTAAATATCACAAATGTAAATGAGTTTATTACTTTTCTTAATCCCTTTTTCCTCCTGGTGTAATCGGATCACTTTTCGTGTCCCGATTAAGTTATTTTGTTACTCTCACTTAGACATACCACTAGTATACAAGTGTAATATGTGATGGGGATACAAAATATTATTTAGCCTACAGAAATATCGATTTTGATCACATGCTAACATTGCACTTGCTTATTGAAATAGTAAATAGTTTTAAAATATATAAACGCCATTTATAAAAAACTTATTCTTTAGAATCAGCAAAACATTAAGGAGGTTCCGTCATGTAAGAGCTTTTACCAACTAAAATTTCCTTATACTCCGCAATATCTGTTTTACAATGCTTGATTACTTCCAGGTTAGTGGTAAAGACAAACCGAAGTGCTCGCAGTGTGACGGGAGAAGTAGTCCACAACTCAGGCACTGTTGTAGTCTCAGCCTCAACCAAGGAATGGGCCCTGGCCAAGCAGTTGTACAGGTGTGTACGTGTACCAGTAGCCATTGTAGTTTCAGAAAAGTGGGTACTTATGGCCCTTGATAATTGAATAGGCAACGAATTATCAATAATTGATGCCTCTGGCCTAAAGTATAATTTGATCTATCACAATAAGAGTCTCAAATCTTCCCAGTTGTGATTTTCCAGACAAACAGATCACTGATCGTAAATTAAGTCACTTCTAGCCTTGAGGACAACATAATTATTAAGGCTGAAGCAAACAAATAAACTGGTAGTTATCAGAGCAACGATGGCCAATCCACTGATTCCTTGATGGTGCAAGAGTTGGACTGCAATTCAAGCGCAATAGCATTTTGGTATTAAAAGCCGTTTAAGAAAACACTGTGGTAATTCAAAGATGAAAAAAGATAATGGCAGACTTCTTCATGTTTAAACTTGATATCGGTTGGCCCAGTTTTATTTTGAAGAACAACATTTAGCCTATATTTACCGCAGATCTCTTAAGATTACACAGATGTAATTTAAACTCTACTGGCTTGTAGTTTAAAGAGATTTTTGTAAAAAAAAAACTGATTAATTTTAACCCCTTGCCAGTAAAAAAGCAGATAATAAATTGCTAGCCTATAAGTTGACTTTTCTTAGCTTATTGGTTGGTAGGCTACTTATTTTCAGTCTTTTTATACAAAGATTTCATTTGATAACCCCCACCCCTGGTCCAATGATTGTTGGGTTATTGAGAGTTTATTGTTGGCTTAGAATGAGAATACATTGGTATTGTCGCTATTCCAATTAAAAGTAAACAAGGGAAAATATTGGCTACTAAATTGTCACTCCTACTTAATTGGTTGACGTTGACAAATTTATTGAGTTTAGCAGTAATATGAGACTAATGCACCAAGTTAGTAGTTTAAAACAAATGTACCTAAAGATCAGTACACTGTTACAGCTTGGGTGACACAGCTGCATATGTTAACTTGGCTCGAGTCCTGGCTCAGAGATGTCATGAAACCGGAATCTCTGAAGTGGCTTGCTTTATAGAGCGCAAACCTGACACTAAGGTATGAACTAGGCTTGTCTAATGGAAAACTAGACAAGTGGCCCCAGGCCAAAGTGGTTGCATGACGTATGGGTTTTTTTGTCCTAAGACGCCAGGCCCTAGCTCAGGATCGTTTTCTCATTACTTCAGGCTAAATCTAGGGGTTGTGGTGTTATCGCTTCGATAAAATCCTTTGTTAATTTGGTGGATTTGGACACAGGACCGAAGCTGTGCTCTACCACTACACCAGCTCACTCCCCTGTGGAAAGGATCAAATAGTTTTTAGTTTGAGAAGGTCGGTTCATTTAACTTGAACAGTCAATTTTCTCCTAACCCTGCTAAAAGTTGTACACAAAGGTTGTATGAAATCTTTTACCCAACCTAGGTAAATGGTGTCCAATGGGTACAGTTTCTCGAATTTTGATTACCGGTATTGGGTTTTTCCAGGTGTTTTCTTTTTTTAAGTAGTCTATGGACCTATAAGACGGTTTTTTATTGAGGACATGTTAGGTCTAGCAAATGCTTGAATCTCAGGGAAAATTGTCATTTAAGTAAAGCAAATCCACTAGAAAAATTGGAAATTGCTAATCCAGCATGTTTGGGACTTTGGCAGTGCTGTATTTATGAAAAAAATTTAAATTAGCCTACTGAATGCAATCAAAAATAGTTGTTATTTCAAGAATAATGGAGATATCGCTGAAATAAAGTATAAAAGCCAGGGATGTAGGTGTCAGGCCATTTTTCTGTGTTCAATTTTAATTTTTCAGTAGACATACCCTCGATTCAATCTGATTGTGTGAAACCTTACCAAGCTGCCAAACGTGCCTGGAAGGCTTTTTCAGTGTAGGGAAAAATTGTATTCATCATTACCTCCTAGATTTATATGACTTAAGTTTTACCCCTTTTACCTCAACTATTATAATTTAGTATAACAGGTAGTTAGTTATCAAACATGAGTTTCATTTGCAGGCTTTTTGTCTCCAAATACAATTATTAGTTAGCAATAAGCAATGACATCATCAATATTCAATACAAAAAAATACAACATTAGGCACAGCACACACAGATACAGATTCATTATGAACATAAATAATTAAGCCTGGTATATGACTGTTGTGTTGTAGGTGGAGGCTTTTCTACAAGAGCTTGAAAAGGAGGGTGTTACATTGAGTGAACCTGAGGAATACGAACATCCCAGACCCACACAGCTGGTCAAGCCTGAGAAGCCATGGGAAGTTTATTAGTTTCTGTTTTTGTAAGTTAAATTTATAGTTAAATAAAGTAAATTGTTTTGTAAGGGAATTTTAAAATCATCCCTTTCCTGAGTCAGATCCCTGCCTCCTCAATGTAACCAGTCACAACCGCGAAGAAGGGAGTTATCTTACCAATGGTTTACAAAGTCTAGACAACCCCCAAACCTTAACCTTGGATCCAAACCTTTCATCCAACCAACTCCACTTCAACATCCAACCCAACAAGTAAGCTTAGATGTTTCAACAGGCCTATTTTTGTCCTGGATTCGAATTACAGAGGCTTGCGGTAACACAGTTTGAATTGTAGAGGTGGACTTAAAATTTTGGAGGTAACAGTTCGAATTACGACAACCAAATTCGAACTGTAGAGGCTTGAGTATGTGGAAATTTGAATTGTAGAGGCTGCATTAAACGTAAAAATCACTTTGAATTATCGGTATATTATTTTTGAGGTTTCTGAGGTGAAAAGACGAACATTACTAATTATAGAGGTTTTCAAATTATAGAGGTTCAAATTAGCGAGGTTCTACTATAAGATCAACTGAACCTGTGTTTTATTTCAATTTATACTATTGGCAACACTGTCAACAACTCACTGGCCACCATATTAGACCTAAAGAAAACTCTCTCATCGTTAGTTGAAAATGCTGTAAGTGAAAGTGAATATCCTAATTTTTTGTGTTTGTGTATAGTGTAAAGTTTTTTTTTCTTGTGCCAGTTTGGACTCTTTCCCATTCAGGCCAGCCTGCTATTGGAAAAAAAACCTAAAAACCTAAACCTTTGTGCTCTATGTTACACATTCTTTGCCGAGTAGGTACTTAATATATAAACTTTGAGATCATTCAAATTTGACATGGAGTGTCAGTGTGAAAGTGATAACATTGTTTTGCAAAAGGTTAAGTATTGTGGAGTTTGTGTGTGGGAAGGCCTTATGAGGTTGCTTTGAAACATTTGTGTATGCATTCCTAGAGTAAATTGGTAAAAGGCCAAATTGAAATGGATTTAACTAATTTTACCCAGTAATTTGTGACTATTAAAGTATATATATTGTTAATACTATCCACTAGATGGTTTACCTTTGTTGGTTGGAAGTTTGAGCTTTGAAGAAATGCAAGACTCCATACAAGTTGAGTTCTGAAACAAGTAAAACATTGTTATAAGCAACGGTATCAGCAACCCACGACCAAGTCGTGGTAGTTATGATACTTTTGTGGAAAAACCATACAAAAGTTGCAATACCTTTAGAACTGTGATTTTTACAACATTGGTGGTTGTATCATTTCATTTTAGACTTAAATGGACTATAGCATACTTATTTCAATCAAAATAGTGTGAGATTTTTGTATTAATATCTTATTTTCCGGTTATTTTATGGGAAAATCACCATTACATTTCCGAATCTACATTTTCGAAAAATAACAAATAAAACCTGGAGATATTACAGGTGTAGTCTGTAGCTCTGTCCCTACACAGATACATCACTTGGAAATTACTTTTTTGGGTCCAGGGAGACTCAAAACTAATATCTCCATTTTGACAAAAACAATACTTTCTCCATATGGGGGAGAAAGTAAAAATTGCATATTATTTATTACAACAATAAGTAGGCATATTACTTAGGGTTTACTTAAGAAGAGTACTGGTTTGTGCTTCAGAGATTGTAATTAGAGTTTTTTTAATGTTATTGTTAATAGAATATTTTCTTATAACAAAACAACTTCAATATACTAACTAAATTTGTTTTTTAAATCTCTAAAAAATGGTTTGGAATGAAATTGCAAAATGTTATGTTTATAGTCGAAATTGGGGTAAACCAATGTTTACCCCATGAAAGCCCCCATAAACCATTCTTCCTATATTAAACGTTGATTTAAGTCAGCCAAATTCCAATATTAGTGCTCTAAAAATTCTCGCAAAATAAATTAAACTTAAAGAGAGAGAGAGAGAATCTTTATTACATAAGTGTAGAGCTTAGAAATGGTGTCAACAAACAAATTCAAATCTGGAAATATACATAAATGTTACAAAAAAAATGGATTTCATCAGTCTTTTTTCACAGAGGGTGTAGAACTCTTCCATGGTGTAGATGGGATTATCTATCAGCCAGGTAAGTAGTCTTTTTTTCAATGTCTTTGCATTGCCGGTCTTGATTGTTGTCGGAAGAAGATTGTAGAGCCTGGCTCCTGCGTAAGATGGCTTCTTTGCTTATCTGGCAGTTCTGTGTGGGGGCAAGTTGAAATTTGCAGCGTTCCTTGTGTAATGCAAGTAGTGTATATTTGCATTTCTAGGAGTGCCTTGGTTGAGGGAAAAATTTACGACCTCAGAGATGTATATGGCGATTACAGTTGGAATTTTCAGCATTCTGAAGACATCCCTGCAGCTATCGTCTTGCTGGAGGCCACCAAGAATTTTTACGGCACGCTTTTGCAATTTCAGGACACGCTGGACATTCTGCTTGGAAGATTTCCTCCAAAGCACTATTCCATACCTGAAAAGCGTCTCAAAAAGTGCATGGTATGCTACACGTGTTGTGGCTGGAGAGGTAACTTTGTGGAGACGTCTGAACGCAAATAGCGATGAGTTGAGCCGCTGGCAAATGGAATTGATGTGGGCATTCCAACAAAGGTCGTTATCTAGAATGGGTCCAAGATGTTTGGTGGTGTCAGCCACTTGGATAGTTGGAGGATTTGAAACGACATCTTTGAATTTTCCTAAGAAGAGTTGCTGAGTTTTACTCTCGTTGAAGACTAAGTCGTTATTTGCGCAGTAATCCATAGCTTGATTGATTGCGATAAAGTTTTCAACTTCCAGACACTCAGGATGCTCCCTGCTGGCCAAGAGAACAGAGTCATCTGCAAACATGACTGTGTGGCAGTGGGGCTCCATAAATGAAGGTAGATCGGCAACAAATAGGGCAAAAATAAGGGGGCACAATACGGAACCCTGCGGGACGCCTCTTTCTACATTTAGCAGCCTCTGACCTGACAGAATTTTCTCTACCTTTTGTGGCCTGCTTGATCTCCACCAGCTGTTGTCTTCCACAAAGGTCGGATTTAAACCAGGCTTGTGCGGCTTTGCAAATGCCAAATGTCTCGAGCCTCTTCAAGATGAGCTGGTGGTCCAGGCAGTCGAACGCTTTGCTTAGATCTAAGAAGGTGCCTCCAACAGTGTCGCCATCCTCCAAATGATCAATGATATGCTCAACAATTTCTGTAACTGCTGTGATGGTAGATCTGCCCGTCAAAAAGCCCCTTTGGAAGGAGGTTGTTGTATTTCAGGTGATCCATAAGCCGTGTTAAGACAACCTTCTACAATAACTTTGAAAATGTAGGGACCAAAGATATTGGCCTAAAGTTGCCCATGTCATCCTTGGAGCCTTTCTTGTGGAGGGGGTTCACTTTGGCAATTTTCATTTTGGATGGGACAGATGCCTGAGAGAGGGATTTGTTGAAAATAACGGTAAGAGGAGAACAGAGTTCCTCCGCACAGAACTTCAAAAGAAGACATGTGGACTTGCCAATCCTGGAAAATAAGCAGAAGCGAGTGAGCTGGTCCTAACACTCAGATAACTTGAAGGATTTTCTTGTAGATTTCATTTGATTTATACAACGACAACACCAGGTTACATATTTTATGGGTGAAAGATGAGTGTTAGCGTTGAACATATACCTACCCAGTTAAATTTATGTGAAGATAGCTTTGTTACTAACTAAAATAATCAGCTGTTTCTTTAGCCAGGACAATTCATTACAAGATAGGTTCAAGACAGATGAGTCGAGTTTCAATCCGTTACTTTACTTTTCATACTTTTACTTTACAATGAAATGGCGACCATACAAAGTAGGTATTTTAAGCCACGTATGAATGAATATGAGTGTAGGATGAGTGGCGCGATCTTATAATCTTGTTAGTGACTAAGGCCGACATATTCCTTAGACACAGCTGTTAATTAATAGCCCATACAGCTAATGGCAACTAAAGGACCTACAGTTTATAACCACATTTTTGCCTTTGGTATATAAGAATTGGTATAATTATCAGGATAAGCATTAAAAATCTTAAGACATAATTCTGGATTATGGCAAGTTCCTTATTATTTAAGTGATCTTGTTGTGTCGATGGCTCGGTTGGTATCATGAAAATCAGACTTAGATTGTTAAGCACCATACTCGAGCTCAATTTGGTATAACTTCATTTTCATTTATGACTTTTAATGTGAATCAAATAAATTGCACTACAAAGTACATGATGGCATAATCTTCATAGTCTGATCAAGCTACGTTTTCGATCCCTGATTAGAATAAAATTTTGATGTTTTAACATATGTTTAGTTAACTATAAATTACATTCCTGAACAAGAGATGGGAAGTCTAGTATCAATTTGAATAACACTCTAAACAAGTTATACTTTAAACGCTACTCCCCCTTAAACTACTAACTTATTTTGGGCAACTGCTTCTAACCCACGCTGAGGAATTCCTGCTAATCAATTATTCTGGCCTCTCAATTGATTACATTTCAACATTATTCTTGGAATATATAATTGAGATAGTCCGGTTCAATAGCCATAACATTCAGTTTGTGAAACTAAAAATTTATTTAACTATACCCCCACCACAGCAAACCTGCAGACTAAGCAAATTTCCATTTGCCTAATTGGATATATACACTAAAAAGTCTCCTTAAAAATTTCACATTTATTATCTGTTTAGATAGCATTAGTTTGACGAGTACTCTAGGTTTGCTGCAACGGGGAGGGTAAATAAGTTTTTTTTTGTAAAATGTAATAGTTTAGTACGAAATAAATGCATTTTTGTGATCAAAATATGCTCATAAACAAGCAAACAGTTGACTTATTCTCCATAAGAATAACATAGGAATTTAAAATTTACATTTTTTGTAATTTTCTCCATAACCATTAGGCGCATAATAACCCTTCAATATACTAAATTATTTGTTTTTTTAAGCTCTACAAAATAGTTTGGAAAGAAATTGCTAAATTTTATGTTTTTTTTTGGCCAAAAATTAGCAAAACCAATTTTTA